TTGTCAGCACTGTTCTGATTGGTTCATCTCTTCCAGGTGAGGCTTTAAAGATGTCTTCATGTCTGATTGTACACTCTAGATTGTCTGGCTTCTTGGATGCTGTTTCAATCTGTCTGACCTCATGTTCATCATTGACCTCTGCAGTCCCTCCCTCTGTGATGTAGAGCTCTGTGTAGATCTGATTCAGAAGGGTTGGGTTTCCTGCTTTAGCGATGCCCTCAAACACACACTGGAACTTCTTCTTTAGAATAGACTTAAGTTCATGCTGACTCCATTCAACGTCCCTAATTAAAGTTCCTAAAAGAGTCAATAGACAAAAGCATAACTATGGATTATTAAATGCACATATTTTGAATATATATGTGCATTCATTGAAACAATAGTAAAGGTTCTATTCATCCAGCAGCTTAAATTTTTGAAGAAATCCTCTTACTGCTCTGTAATTCGTCAGCCAGCTCCTCCTGCTTTATTCTCCTCAGGAAATGCAGTGTGATCTTCACAAATGATTCTCTGATGCTATTCGGCTCTTCATCCTCACCCGCTAATGCACAATTATTGTCCGTCTGACTCGCTAAGCATTCTGGGTAATCTGGACACAGAACCTTCTGGATCTTCTTAAGTTCTTTCTTCACAAAAGTCACCATTTTGTCCTCCAAGAGCTGCAATGGAATACTTTATGAATGAGGGCGGAGTGGGAGGGTGAGGTTGCTGTACCATAGATACTGAGAAAAAACAGAACAAAATGCAAGCAACAAGAGAGAGGAAACAGAGACATGCAATATTGTATGTGTCCATAACAGAAGAGAACTTTAGAGCATATCATCAGAAGTCTCACCCCTGACCCTAACAACAAGTAAAAAGGAAAGTTCGAAGCCTAGTCTTAAAAGTCAGTCATCTTGCTATTAAAAACTGGTATCTGATTTTAGAGGAGACGATCTTGACAGCTATTCCTCCCATTCTACGGTTAGAAACTTGAGGAACCACAAGTAAACCTGCAGTTTGACAGCGAAGTAACTGGTTGATATAATAAGGCAGTATGACCTCTGTAACAAAAGATATGATTTTCAGCTAATGTCAAGGGTATATGACATCTCATCTCTGCAGCATTTTAATAACTCCCCAGTGCAAACACTGTGTTGAACATTTTTACATCACTAAAATTGTCCGCAGTAAACGATTAATTCATAGAAATCAATTCAGTGATGTGCAATACCAAGAGTCCTAATGAAATCCAAACCCTGACCTGTCTTAAAAAAAAAAAAAAAAAAAAAGAATCAGACGTATTTTCGATCAGACCTGCACTGTTCAAAATGCCATAGATGCCATATTTCATGACAAGACCAAGTTTTTTCTATAATGTTTTCCAATTATCTATCTAGGCAGATAGTTTACCGGACACTACCATTAGAGCCAGCAGTTGAAGGATGACATGTAACTGTTCAGGTCAAATTAGTCAGTGGTCAACAACACCACAGTTTTACATTGTTTAGGTTTTCCCAGCTTCCAGTGTTTATGCTTTCATTTAAAGAGTGTTGAGTTGTGCTTCTAATACACTGCCTTGCCTCCAGTAATTAGAAAAAAGTATGTTATACGGACAATTATAGCTAAGAGGGAAGAGGAATAACTACAGATCTCAAAAATTATGTCATGCAGTTTAAAGGAGGCAGAGGTCTGTCAAGGACAATTGGATCTACCTTCTGAACTAAAACCCTTGCATGTAAAAGTAGTTGTTGTACATATACAGACCGTAAATATGGAGTCCAGGTGTCTTTGATGCTGCTGTGAAGACTGACCACTGGGAACCTCTGAGCTCTCCTGGTCCACTCTGTGGAGGAACCATGAAGATCAAGAATAATACAAAAGATAACCAAGTAATTAAGATGCTGGTGCTTCCCATCCCTAATAATAATAATAATAATAATAATAATACTTTTGTCTGATACCTTGTTAGTATCTTGCTCTTGACTACTCTTATTGTCTTTTGCTTGTATTTCTTCTTTTTCTCTTATTTATTGCTGCTCTTTTTGGTAAACTACAAGCACAGTCTATCTCAAAATTAATATGTTTGTATATTATTATTAAATTTACTCAGGTATTTTCTTATGATGTAGCTGAAGCTGCTGGACCTGCAGGGGTGTTGATGTGATCAGATCTAGTGTATGACTGGCTCAGGTCGACTGCACAAAGCTGAGTGTCAAACTTTGTCTTCTTCCTGTAGCTCTTCTACACTATTACATGTGACACAGTGACAGGAAGTTCATTCATACATGAGTGGATCGAGATCTGGCAGGAAAACGTGGAACCTCCTCTGCATGAATCCTGCACTCCTCCTGATCTGTCCGATTGATCCAGAGAACAGCTGTCTGAAGATTATACACATCAGCCAGCTGGATCATTGCTTCATGTTTTAAAGGAGGTTTCTTTATCAGTCAGTTCAATATTCGAACAAGAACCTCATCAGATCATGTCTCTGTTACACTGAAGGTGAAATTACATTAAAACTGAAAAATGATGGAGACGAGTTTCAGAGAAAATCAAAGTCCAAACGTCTTTCTTCTGGCTTCAGATGGAAAGTTCAGTGTTCACAGTTCATGCTCTTCATTTTATCACTGTGAGAATCCAAAAAACCTCCATGAAGACAAACTTCTCAGCCAGAAATCAAAGCAGCGCTTACATGGAGTCACACTCATTAAACTATTCGTCCCCCTCCATCCAGCAACACCTAAAACACCCGAGTGGAAGTTCCTCCCTACACTGTTGTTTATGGAAACACTCCAACACACACCGCTTCACATATAAACATAGAAATGTGTGTGAAACAGAGCTGAGCTGACATTCAACATGATGGAGGATCTATTCACAAACACTCAGTCATAACATCATTTAGACACACATTACCTCTGCAGGAGGACACACGTCTGATTTAAATGTTATAATAAAATCTTTCGATTGGTCACTCTTGAAGGACACACAGCTGGTGCAAGGTGCATGGGAATCAAATAATAATAATAATAATGGATTGCATTTATATAGCGCTTTTCAGGACCCCTCAAAGCGCTTTACAATGCCACTATTCATTCACTCTCACTCTCACACACTGGTGGAGGCAGCTACAGTTGTAGCCACAGCTGCCCTGGGGCAGACTGACAGAAGCGAGGCTGCTATATCACGCCATCGCCATCTCTGGCCAACACCAGTAGGCGGAAGGTGAAGTGTCTTGCCCAAGGACACACGACCGAGACTGTCCGAGCCGGGGCTCGAACCAGCAACCTTACGATTACAAGACGAACGCCCAACTCTTGAGCCACGATCGCCCCAAATATCTGATTGATCCTGATAGGAAAATAAAATAAATAAAATAAAATAAAATAAAAAAAATACTTGAAATTCATTATCTTGATTTTAATATGCAAATCCATCCATCCATTCTCTTCAGCTTATCATTGCCAGGGTTGTGGGGGGACTGTAACCTATCCCAGCAGGAGAAACACTGGACAGGTTGCCAGTCATTCGCAGAGTTTAAAATGCAAATGGTTTAATAATTTTAATAATGTTTTAATAATAGTATAATATTTATTTATAAAATTAATAATAGTTTTAATAATGGTTTAATAAAATCTATAAATATCTTTTTAAAATCACAAACAAACAAACCAAATTAAATTAGAATAACATTTCTCCATCAAAAATTATTCAACTAACAATAAATTAGTTTATAAAATCTAGCCTAACCCTGATTAATTTTTGAGTATTACTCTATGTTAGATAAGTTATTTGATTCTACAGTATATTAAATATTTTGTGTTCCTATTCTGCACATGCTACAGGTCAGCTGTAATATTAATATTAATTATTCCTTGGATGAACAGATGTCCAAAGTAGGGATACCTGAACAGGCAATGAAGTACAATACTGAAATTCAGAAAATGTAACAATGTTATCAACATCTTTTTCAGCACTGTTGGTATAGGGCCAGACAAGAAAAAAAAAAGACAATCTTATACTGAAATAACTTTTCCAATGCAATATGAGACATGATCAATATAAAGCTGATATGCCTAATTCTGTCCATGTTTTGACAGACAACATAGGAGAACATCAGAATAGAGCTTCTCCGAACCAGTCATGGTTGGAACAGAGTTAAAGCCATGTCAGTTTACGCTGACTCACTCAGCATAGGAGGAACAGCCCGCAGCCACACATCTGCTAACCTCTGGGCTGCTCCAGCCACATACAGCACTATGTTATGAGTAACATACTGAGCAACAGCATCACCGAATGTGACACCAAAATGCACAAGCCTAAGGCTCAAATAATGAGATAACATAAACAGTAGTATAAAATAAAGTTGTTTGTTTGAAACGTTTTTTTTTATTTTGTTCATATTCATCTGCAACACCTCAAGCTTTTTAATAGTCAGCATTAAAATGGACAGGAAACAGTGCATAAATAAAGGCCAATTTATACCATGGAGCCCTAATACTGTCTGTGAAGCTGGATTTAAGAAATAAGCCTTTAAAGTCAAAGTATATATAGCATGTTTAGCACTATCTTGCGCCGGTACAGAACATGATGTCACCTGTTTTTTGGTTCCTGCTAATAGACTCATCTTACTTTATATTTGCTGACAGTTAGGTGTGGGGGTGAGTGGTGGTGTACCCAGTACCCGCTGTCATCAAGACAAGAAGTTCCTTACCCTGCATTGAGTGTTGCACCTTAAATCCAGCACCCTCAGAGTGTACACAAAACATAAGGAAGGTGGCCGAGGACTAGTGAGTGTCAGAACTATTGGAGGAAAACATGAGCACGAGCATGACTTCCTGTTTGCTGAAGTGGATTTTCAGTAAACCAAAAGGTTGTTTTTAAAAGACAGTTTAAATGGGATTGAGGGAATGACGTGTTTGCACTGCAGTTTATATCCAACAACATCAAACAGTTAAATCAAAGCTCACCTCTCTGCAGCAGACAGAGGCTGGGATTTAAAATCAATGGGACGATCTGCAGAACGGTCACTCTTTAAGGACACACAGCTGGGTTCAGGTTCAGGTCCAGCAGCTCTCTCATAAATCCTGTTAGAAGAAAAATGTGTTTTTAATTTACAGCCACAGAAGCTGATGAAGACTAAGAATATCTTCATCATCCCAAAAGAGAAACAGGTTTTCAGGATGAGCATGAGCAGAAGGAAACTCCAAACTAGTGTTGGCAGTGTGAGAACAGAGCGCCACTCAGAGGTAAACACAGTCATTTACAGTGTGCAGGACTATTGATGGTCCTACTGTGAGCAGCAGGAGTTTAAATGTACATGTTGGACATGTTTTACAGAATAAAGGAACTCCTCACTCAGTGACTTCCTTTGACCAGGAAACAACATCAAGAAGTTTATTTAAATCAAACTGACATCAGAGAAATCAAATGTTACTAACAGCTCACCTCTCTGCAGCAGACAACTGCTGGCTTTTAAAATCAATGGGACGATCTGCAGACCGGTCACTCTGTAAGGACACAGAGCTGGGTGGAGGTCCAGGCTGGTTCCTGTGAATAATGATGGAGCAGTGATGTGAGTGCTGAGCTGTGACATGGAGAAGAGTCATGGACAGTTAGAGATGGTCATCTCACCTCTGAGCTTTGGTCTGGCTCTCTCTGGCTCTTTTAGAGGGAGGGGCTCCCTCCTCTCTGTCCTCACACTGATCCATGCTGCTCAATTCACATCCACATCAGCTCACACACACTTTCTACCTTCACCTGCAGAGGAAACACAAATCATTCATGTGCACATCAACTGAGAGCTGCAGAGGTCATATCTGATGTGTTGGACTAACATCCACTCCATCTGAAACACAGCTTTCATCATTCAGCCCTGTGTATAGATGTGAATTTTTTTTTATTCAGAAAGATGAAGTTTGTGTTTCAGTCATGTAGTGACTCTTGCTGCTTAACTGTACGAGGTTAGTTAAACACTGTGAAACAGATCATACAGATCCCGCCATGTTAGAAGAAATTATTAAAGACAGGGGGGCATCCTTTACAGCAATTGCTACAGTTATTGATTGTTCCATGTTTATTTCAGTATAGTAGTGTTCAATTCTTTACAGTTTTTAATGTCCTCTTTAAAGTATTCTGGTGTAAATCAATGAACAAATCAGTCCATGCAATCTTTCTGAATGATTTCACAATGATGGTTCTTTTATACCCAAGCATTTTGCTAAAACACTTGAAAATACTTTTTTACTAATATTTTTTTTAAAGAACTCGAGTAATTGGGCATAACAAGAACAAATTCCATCATAAATATTAATCATTGCAATTAACGGGAGATGGTAACAAAAACACTGGAGCTGAGCTTAGCTGTGACGCCATCCCGTACACCGCCTTTACTGCTGAACTACCGCGTTGTGTCCGCGGAAGTCTGCACTCCCGAGCGAACTTGTAAGAACTAGAATTAGGGAAGTATGAACTTCTGTGTTGAGATTAGACTTGGTCAAACGTTCCGCACCAGCTGTAAACATAAATAATGTCATGTAAGTTATGACGCCTCTCTGCATTTTTACACGGTGCTGAGCTACCAGCCAGGCTAAAGTCAGACCATTTGTCCCAGGTCTCCTTACTGCAGTCAGCCGCCATCGCTATGCTAGAGATAACATCATCAGTCTGAGTCAGTCTCACACATTAAATGGTCCAGCTGTGAATCTGTTACTATTGAGCGGCAGATTTGTGCTGGAACTAAGCTGCACACCGTTGTTGTTAGCAAGGAAAACATTACAAACTGCTAACACTACCTTCACAACGAAACGACCAGCATCATTCACAAACACAAAGTCCAGGAAGGAGGAGCCGTAGAAAGAAGGAAACACGCAGAGAAGTTAGCGTCATCTCGGGCCAGCTGGAGCCCCGCCCCTTCTAATGACGTTAGTCAGCCTATGCAGAGACTACACATGAAAAACCATTATCACTCTGAATTTACAGCTCATTTTCACAGGTTTGATTTTTTCAAAACGGAAGTAAGAAAACGGAAAATTAAATTTTAGTTTTTGAAAGTTCAAATGCTTAGAAAAAACTACAAAGTGACAATTTTGATTGTATATTATATTTAAATTAAATAATAATATTAAAAATAGACGCAATACAGTCATTGCAGGACTGTGACTTTGTTTTTTTTAAAGAGCAGACATTATATTTTAAGGATCTGAATGTTTTTTGTATTGTTTTTTAGTTACAGGAAAAGGACTCCAAGGCAGCCAGGAATAATACAAGGTGTGTCTTTTTAATGCCAAGTCCACAACTGTAAAATATTCCAACAAGCCACAAACCAGGCAGGAACACATGAGAGAAGGTTACCAGACAGTGACAGACATGACAGGTGACAAAGGGAACAAACCCAAAGCTTTATTTACAAAAAGGATAATTAAGGAAATATTGAAAAGCTGGTTGGGACTATTCAGGGATACCAAAATGCAAGGTCCATACATAATTCCAGAAAAGTTGGGATCTTCTTTAAATTTGAACAAAATGAAAACTAAGACTTTCAAATCATAAGAGCCAATATTTTATTCAGCCGTACTTTGGTCAACACTTGTTGTTTTTTTTGTTTTTTTAAAAAAGTGCTATATAAATAAACAGGAACTTTGTGTAGCATTGGTGTTTCTGGAGTTTTGGTGTTGGAATTAAGTCCCATTTATTTTGCCTGGTTTCCAGGTTTCCGGTTGCTGAACAGTTTGCTGCCGTCTTTGACATATTTTTTCTTTTAATGATGCGCCAAATAGGAGAAGATCTGGACTGCAGACTGACCAGTTCAGCAACTGGACTCTCCTCCAATGAAGCCATGCTGTTGTAATAGATGCAGTATGTGGTTTTGCATTGTCCTGCTGAAATATGCAGGGACTTCCCTGAAATAGACATTGCATATGTTGTACATATATGTTGCTCTAAAGCATAAGTGTCAAACTCTGGCCCGCGGGCCAAATTTGGCCTGCAGCCCGCGAAGCCATACCAAATTACTATTAGAGCTGGCCTACTGGTATTATACAGCTAATATATATATTGTTTAGTATTAAGCTTTGCTTGTTCCATATTCAGTTTTTCAGCAAAACGTGTTTGAGTCCATGAGAAAAGATTCATTCTTATATCTGGAGGAATAAATATATTTCA